ATATTTTAGCATTTTAAAAAAGTAAATCAGAGCTAAAAAAGTGCAAAAATGCAGGCAAATTTGCCTGCGTTGGTCTATATATTAAGGGATAGACTACTAAGCTATAGAATTTTAATCTCATAATATTTTAGATTATAAGATATTAAAAATATATATCTAATTAAAACTTGCATTTTGTAATATTTTTAAATTAGATTTAATATTTAGCTTGCTAGTATTTTTTTTACTTTATTTATATATTGTTACTGTTTTAGATATTTATATATAGTATATTTTAAATTTTAGCCAACTTTTTATAAAAGCATTATAAAAGAGGCACTATATAGTAGAGTAGCTAAGTAGACATTATTCATAGATAGAGATTTGAAAATTGCAACACTACAGAATTAGAAACCTAGGATATATAAATTAGAGTTAAACTTAGTCTGTATATATTAAATCTTTAATATGGTCTGGTGCAAAAAAATTTGTACTTCAAAAATTTTTAATTTTGGTACTAAATAAAAGTTTTTAATTTTTGATTAATTATTTAAATTTTTTTTTATATTAAAGAAAGTAGGCCTTGATTTAAATTTTTATTTTATTTTCATTATTTTAATAATTAATAATATACAACTTTTTTATATTTAAAAAAAAAAAAAAAAATTTTTTTAGAAAAAATCTATTTTAAGCATTTTTGAAACCAATATACAATTTTATAAGTTTATACTACACAAGTGTCTTGATAAGCATATAATGAATATGTAATTAAAATTTAAACAAATTTAGATTACTAGTTGTAAAAAAATTAAGCTTTAAAGTTAAATAATTTAATTTTTTACTATATATATATAAATTACTAGTAAATTTATATAGTAAATTATATAGTAAATATTTTAAAAAAGTTAATATTAATAAATTTTTTATTTTAAAAATTATATTGAATTAAAAGAATTAAAATTTAAATTGTAAAAAAGTTTTTTAATCATAGCCATTTGATGTATAAATCTTTTTGCACTGAACTATAACTTGTATAAATTAACTATTTAAAGAATAAAGCAGGACTATTTATAAAAAAAAAATTAAAAGTATTATAAAAGTTTGTTTTTTTCTAAATTTAATAAGTAGTATATATTAGAGATATTTTTAATTTAGTAAAACTAATTTTTTACTATAGATTATTTTGTATTTATTACTTTTTTTACTATAATTCTAATATAGTAGTACTATTTTTTTAACTAAAATTTTAAAGCTAATTTAAAATTATTAATACTATCTTGTATATTATTATTAAGTTTACTTTAAAATTATTAGTACTATCTTGTATATTATTATTAAGTTTACTTTCTGATCTTTTTACCAACTTCAAATAGATTTGTTGTTTATTCTAATTTGTATCTTGAGCCAAATACTACTACTATCTAAGAACTTGTATCTTAAACCACCTACTACTATAATTAGAGTTTCTGAGCCAAGTTCTGTAAAATAGTATTATATCTGTCTATAAACAAATATGTAGTTGTATTCTATTAGTTTATCTGAACTTAAAAAATAAAAATACTAATTTTTTGAAAGAGATAAGCTAAATTCTCATTTTTTATTAAAAATCAATATATAATATATAATAGTGTATAACGATAAATACTATGAGACAAACACTATGAGACAAACATTATAAGACAAAAATACAATATGATTGGCTACTGCTATAACACATGTTTTTTATTATTGTTGCACAAATTTGAACATAATACGTATTGATGTTAAAACCCATAGATACTTTACTGTATGTAGAACTGGGTGCATATTTGGGATATATTATATTAAAAGTAGTAAATCAATATTGGTATACCACAGGTCTTATTCAAGAAATAGGATAGAATAATACCAGGGTTTTAATCAGAGACATTAAAATTAGTATTTACTATATATATTTTATAATAATTTTTTTGTTTTAAATTAACTAAATATTTTATATTTGAATCCGGAGCAACGCGACGGGTTAGATGCTAGTCTATGTATATATTATCAAAAGCTGCTAATTAATCGGTGCTAAGGCCAGACCAATTTAATTCTTCGAACATAACCCCCTACTCCTATTTTTTAAAATTTATATGAATCCAATACACATTAACTGTTAATAGTATTTGCCCCCCTCAATTTTTTAAATTTTATATAACTAACACACTGTATGTAAAACCAACCAATGAAGTTACAGTATTAATATTTTTGTGCTTTTTTCCAATGCCCCACCCCCTTCTTACAGTTATTTTGTGTTATGTTAAACGAAAAGTCAAGTTGGTCTGGCCTAAGTAAAAATGCTTTACGCCCCTAAAAACCCCTAACCCTAATACTAACACTAACATGAAAATTTTGTATTAAAATTTTTTATATTCAAAAACATATAATAGGTGCAAAACCACCATAGGTGCGGTTTATAATAAATGTTAAAGACTGTAAATACATAAATTTTATATTTTCAAAGTATTTTAAGATTTTATACTTGTTAGGCATAAAGTTTTGTATTTATTGAGTGCTTAATTTTAAATATTTTATAAGTATATATATACTTAAATAAATACTTGTAATTGTATCCCAACATACATTACATTAACGCCAAAATATCATATCCAGTGTTAGCATTGGACATATGTCCATCTGTTTTAAAATTCACTTTTTTTTGAATTTATGAGAACCCTAAAATAAAAGATTAATACTAACCTGACTCAAATTTTTTATAGTGGGAGTATATCAAAAATCAATATAGGTAGTTAAACAAAAAAATAAAAAAAATGTGTAAAATATACAGTATATAAATAATACCGACACTTTTTTGCCTGATACAGCATGTTTTCTAGAATCCTTTAAATAAATTATGAATACAAATTACAGCATTGCTAATATAGCCGTTACAACTGTATCTCATTATTTCAAATAATATAACCAAGACTTTTTTATTGGTAAAGATCCATCTGTATTCATTCTATTATAACATCACACATATGTAGTCTATTTAAAGACGTGAATAAATTTAAAGAACACAATCTGGAAGAATAATTGGGTGCTTCATGGTTCTATTAGGATGAAATAACCCCCAACTTCCTTCTAAGGTAGTCCATTTTGCAGTTTTCCAAGGAGTATCAAAAGTTTCAAAAAAGTAATATTTAAGACCTTTTGAATTAGAAGAACAAATAAAAGTGTTTAAAAATGTTTGTAAATTAGAAACAGTAGGAACAGCGGAACCTTGTGAAGCACCGGCAGTTGGCCAACCAACTTCTGATATAATAGCATCCTTATTAACAGCTTTTGCAGGTGTGACGACAAATTCGTCAAAGAATTTAAATGTCCATGATGCAGAAGTGTTTACATTAATACCACCAAAAAATGGATGAACGTTAGCCCATACTATATCTACAGCAGCTATAAAAGCATCATCAACATTTGAACCAAGATCAGAAGTGAAAACGGGCATCTTTTTGTTAAATCCCATCGAATTTATCTTTGTTCTGACATCCGAGATACGATCATATAAAGTTTTCGTAGGAATATCTTTGCGGAAGATAACTATCAAGATAAAGATAAGAAATAACATTCAAATAATTATTTTAACAGTAAATTTAATATAAATTTTTTTAGTATATAAAATTAAAGCACACGTGCCTTCATTACCAACCGAAATACCGTCGATCTTATCTTCACCATATTTTTTGATTAAGTTAAATAAAGAATCAGATTGTCTTTGATAAGTTGTATCATTATCATCAACCCAAATAGTTGGAACAATAGTCATATTCAATTTTAATTTAACGATTGCTTCCATAGTATAATCAGCCATATTACAATCCATACCGTAAAGTCGAATCCTATTAGTTAATTGAGAAATCATTTTCACATCTTCTATAACATCTCCTAAAGTGTTTGAACACCAAGGATAACTAGCATTTACAGGTCCATAATTTATTCCGTAAAATATTTTTTTATATAAAGAATTTGGGATTATGGTCAAATTAACAGGTTTTTTATCCCATGTGTAATATTCTGTATTATTACCGTTTTTTCCACTATGTGAATAATTGTTACTGTTTTTTGACAAATACGTGACACTTCCGATAACTACGGCCAAAATGACGATACCTATTATAGTAACTTTTATACGATGTTTTCGAGAACTTTGCTGTTGTGATCTTAACCAGTCACTTATGTTTGGATCAACCATTATATATTAAAGGGAGGGAGGTTAAAATGTAGAAATCAAAAATGGTTTTTTTTTTCTTTGATTAAAATTTGGAAGGTGGTCGCATGTATAATAATAATAATAAAAAAAAAGGAATTCTTTTATAGGTATGGTCACTCCCCAAAAATCTTAATCATAAAGTATATCAAGGTAATCTTTAATTTATCATTTTATTTAAAAATTACATCCTAGCAAAGTCAGCGGTGGTAAAATTCTAAATATAGAATTACGCGAACAATTGTCATTTTTTGTCATTATTTGGGAGTTTACAACTTAACGGTAGCGGTAAAATATCAATAAATAATTTATCAGTTATTAATTGTACTGTAATACCAGAAATTCCAACCAATAACTGATAAATTATTTTATCCTTGCTGCCATCCTGCTACTATACATATAATTATCGTAAGCTATTATATAGCATCTCACATGCCTTAAAACTATAAAAGATTGATAATTTCCGGAACCGAGCGAGAAACTTAAGTCCAGGCATTAGGTAAAAAGCAGGGTTGGCAATGGAGAATATTCATTGACAAATGGAGCCAATGGAAGAGATCCATTCACTCCGTTCATTTTATTTACTTCATTGAGTTAATTATAAATATATATTTTGGTTTTGTTGGTTTCCATCGGTACCATGTCCCAATGGAACAATGGATTAATGGTAATAGAGCTGTCCTCCATTCGTCCCATGAATAACTGCACGTGGAAAATTTTGGAAAGATATTTTTCTAATATTTGCACCCAAAAATCGTTTGATCACATAGAATAATTAGCCATTGGGACTGAAGTTATCCAAATAAAATTTTGCAATTTGATATTACATCCCTATTGTGGTGTAAATTAGCATTCCTTGTAATTATTATGCTTTTAATTTAGTATAATTTAAACATTTTTAAAAAATATTTGAATTTACCTCTTTAGCACAATAGACAAAGAAATTAGCAAATCCACATCTAAAAAGTAAACTTCAGTGTGACATGTCAATCGAACGTTAGTAATTATTCAATGTCTAGGATCATTGCTTTACAAGGCTAATTGAGTTTTAAATGGGAGATTATTGTGCTTACGTAATAAGTAATAGTTATATTCTGGGCAGTTGGGTATAAGCGGAGATGAAATTTCCGCTTATACACAGTGCCCAGGGTATAGCTGATTTATGCCCTGCGATCTTGATATAGTGACCAGGGTATAAAAGTAAATACACCCTAACGGGTCGATTTTAATAGGACCAGTTATATACGAGAAACAAATATCCGTGAAATTTTATCAGTTTAAAAAATTCTCAATGCAAAATTAGCTATTGTAACAAACAAATACAGTTTTTTTGTGAAATTCTAGTTTATCATGGTTACAATGTAGCTTTATATAACAACTTATTGCTAGAAGTTGCTTCTTTATATTCCTTGATCAAATTAGAAATTTGTTTAAATTTCGGATGTGTTGCATCACCAAGGAGTTGAAACAAAATTGATTCTGAAGTTGAAACTGATGCACCTGCTTGTCGTAGACGCTAAAAAAAAAAAAATTGTATTATGTAAATTTTACGATAGGAAATACAATCATAGATATATCAAAATTAACCTGCAAAGCAATATCGATTTCCGGATGATTTATCGAAGAAACACCATCAGTTAAAACATGAACATCATAATCATTTTCCAGCAAATCCAGGGTTGTTTGAAGCACACACACGTGTGTCTATAATTTAAAAATAATTTTAGTGGGAAAAAACAACTTAAAAGGGCCAAAAAATTTGAGAAAGATAATTGCCTCAATTCCAAATAGCACCACTGATTTTATCTTGTGAGATTTTAATAAGTTTTGAGTCTCTTCTTCGTACATTGAAAATTTGGTCTTGTTAACTACTTTTAGCGCATTAGAGATATCAAGTTCTTGAACCGTATGTCCAAGAGCTTTCATTTACAGTATGAAAAAAAAAAATAAAAGAATGAATATTCAAACTACAGTTTACGGTTCTAAATAAACGAATATGCGTATAATAATACCTCCAGGATTCTATTGAAAAAAGCAAACGATCAATAATGGCCAAATTCTTAATAAATTTGAGTAAAGAAAATTTACAGACCTGTTCAGTGACAATTAAAGGTATCTCTAAAATTTTGGACGCAGCAATCTTAAAAAATGAAATATTGATATTAATATTTAAAATCTTTCGATAATAATTGGACTTGTCTTATTGAATTACCATTTTCTGAGCGGTTGAAACTACGCTCAAAAATTGATGAATGTGAGGTCTAAATTTTTCCTGAATGTCACAAAGGAAAAAAGCTGTAGTTGGTTGACTTATTCTCATAATATTACGAAGATTTGCCATTTCGATATATTTTCTGCAGAAAGGATAAAGATTAACAGTTGGATTTGAAATCAATTTTGTGTTGGGGCTTATTAATGTTGATTTTCGTATCTTGTGATAATTTTTAATTTCAAGGGAACCGGTTTTAAAAATTCGAATTTGTCACATCAATTATTAATAATAATTTTCGAATTTTGGTGTGATAAACTCTAAACTCGAATTTTTAAAACCGGTTCCAACCTCTACTTGGGAGCTCCTACTGTTTAAACTTCGAAGTTGAAATTCCGAGAGTTGATTTTTGTTGAAGGTAAAATTGTCTGCTTATATACTTGTCTAAAAATTGCTACCGATATTAAATATTTATTTTATTTTCTCGATTTCTCCTATTTACAAACCAACTCAAATAACGAAAATAACCAAAATAATAAGAATGAAAAAACAGAAATAGCATAGTGAAAATAGATACTATAGCATTCATCGAAATCGACCTTTACAGCGTCAACACAATCCCGAGAAAGACCTATAATGAAATTCTCAATAATCCAAGTATACTAAAATTTTTAAGACTAAAATTTTAAATACAAAGAAGGTTAGTTAATTTTCATGGTTAGCCGAAATTGATTCGGCTTTTGTCAAAACTATTATGATTTATATGATGGGGAATAAGTCGAAAATAGTTTCGGTCACGTGTATAAAGATTAACGCCTGGAATATGTGGTTTCTTATGCCTCTTTTGAAGGATACGTCCGGCAAAGGGTGGGCCTGTAAGTAGCCAAGGTAGCTTTTTCTTGGCGCTTCGCTTTCCAATAACCCAGGATGCGCCCTGTGGAAGGGTGAGGCTTTGCATCTCGTCAATTAGTCTAAACACAGGTAGACTTTTTTACAAGTATTCTTCGAAAAGGTTCCATTGGACCAAAATTTTCGGAAATACAACGGCGAAAAGGTTTATTATTCTACCGGTGCCGATTTTTTTATAATTGGCTGCAGATTTTGAAAGAGGTATTTGTTATGTATCTTCCGCTATAAACAAAAAAGCTGAGCTATAAGGCATCCTGATCTAATTTAACTACTTGAGATATATCTCTAACAACTTTTTTGTAAATACACGTCACTCTGGTTTATAGATGCTGGTGAAATTAATTTCACCAATTCACCATCAATTTCACCAATAGTGGTGAAATTATTTCACCACATTTCACCATATTTCACCAACATCTATACTCTGGTTATACCGACAGCTGGATTAACTGACAATTGGTTATATCGACATTTTTTTTCAAAAAAAAACACATTTTAAAATTATACTGACAATCATAAGAGATATTAATTATACCGACATACTGACAATTTTAAAAGATAATTTTTTATTGTGACAATTTTTATAAACCGACCGTCGTTATAGGTGTACCAATCAAATTAATTTTTTAAATTTGCTTTATGCTAAGCTTAGTATATAACGAAATCGTTTTTTGCAATATTTGGTATAAAATAAGCAATGCTTAACATGAAACGAATTCGTTTTATGCTTTAATGTTAAGCATAAGATATATTCATTTCATGCAAACAAGATGAATTCACTTTATTCTAAACGTAAAACAATTCGTTTTGTACTAAGTTTAATATTCTTAGCATTATCTATGCCTAAACCGACATATCTACACAATATCAATATAATATCGGTATAGAAAATATGCTTATTAAACTGACATCTGGATATATTGACAACTTTTCCATTGCTGGAGAGTGTCGATATAACCAGAGTGACGTGTGTTATGTCATAGAGTTTTTTGGACCACCGTGTACCACTCAATGTTCACTAATAGAAATCACCTTGCTTGACTAATTTACGATGACTGGAGTACTCCACCGCACAACAAATATCACTAAGAAGAATACAGTATGTTTCTAAGAAAGGATCAAATGTGTAACGGGTTAAAAAAAAGTAGGTACCTTGTTAATTGTTAAAATGTCACAATTGACTTTTTTTTATTATAAGGGAGGTACGGGTATTATGGTACACTTAAGAGTTGCTAATAGTAAAAATTTTTATAAAAAGCATATTTATTTATAAAATTTGTTAAATTAACATAACATTCGATTTACTATTTAATAATATAAAAAAAACCTACACTTTTTTTTAAAAAAACTTGATATTCTAGACTTTAAAAATTCGTCTAAAAACTGGTATGTTTTTTGAGGTTGGGGGTAATATGGTACACTACTATTATGGTATATCGATGTATGCTACTATCACTATGTATAGTACACTACTATCATATACTACATATTGATATGCATATCGATATCAAATAAATCCACGTGATAACATCTTATCAGTTATTTTTTATGCATTTGATCTTTTTTTTGTTTGACTTCAGCTTTTTTTTGTACTTTTTTTGCCTCTCTATCTGCTCGTTTTTGAGCAGCTGTTTCTTTTCTTTTTTTGATGTTTTCTGCCTTGTTCTTTGCTAAATCGTCCATTTCTTTTAGTGCCTGTAAAGATTCTTCATTAGCAAGGAGTCGGGCAAATGGCAAGGTCTTTTTTTTTTTTAACGGTTGACTTTCTGGTTCATTAGTTTGCGTTGGAACCCAGGAAGTAGGATACTTAAGTGCCAGTTTTAGTGGACAAGTATCTGGGTTTTTGTAAGTTTCAAGTTCTTCTTGTACTATTATGTAATCTCTCTTTACAGATATATTTTCATCTCTTAAAAGCTTAATTTCTTTTTCTAGAGAGCTGATCATCGACTTTAATATTTCGTTCTCTACAGTAGCACCAGCTTGAGTGGAATTATGATCTGGTTGAGAATACAGGATAGAGGAATAATGAATCGGTTGTGAAGACGACGTAGAGGATGAATATAAATTTGATTGAATGGTATTTGAAGAAAGTTCTTGATCAGAAGGTAAAATATCAATTCATTCTATAGATAGAGAGGGATCAAGACAGTCTGGACTAATGGCGTTAGGGTTAAAAGGCCAAATTCCCATAACTCTATAAGCGTTAGTAATCGCTTCAAATGTGTAAGTTTTTGTAAATGCTGGACCAAACATTTTGGCAAACGTGTGCTTTGTTACTAATTCACCATTTTTACTGTGAAAGTTTGTGCAACTTTTGCTATATTTGGTTTTAAGTTTGGTGAAGGGAAGCTCGGATGGTTGGAGGATATGTGTGGTATGTGGGGGGAGAGCATATAACAGAATTCCATTTTCATAACAAAAATTGATGCTTATATAATTTACATAGCTTTTATGGCCATCAAGTATTAAAAGAACAGGGCACCAAGGAGGAATAGAACTAATAAAATGCTCGATATACATCTGAAATAGATCTTCCCGCATATACCCCAAGTCGGTAAAGCCCATAATGGTGCTAGCTGGGGCACTGTTTAACAAATTCAAAATTGCGCGAATACCTTGTAAATAATTAAGGGTGGTATATAGTTGCCAGTAGCTGAAATTGTTGGGACGACAGAAATATGGTCATGGGTATTTCTATGTGTTACTTTATGGATTTGGCGAGAGCCTTTTGTAGCAATGACTTTTTGTATTTTAGGAGATATAACAAACCCTGTTTCATCCATGTTCCAAATTCTGTTCACGGTAAGTAAATGTTCTTGAATTATTTTATTAAGCTTATCAAAATGGTCCTTAACAATAGTGGGATTGGCTCTTTGCGCACGTGCCTCTGACAAGGCCTGAGGTATGCAAAAAGACAAATCGGGATGGTCTCTCATAAAACGTTTCCACCAGGCCTAGCCAGGTCTACTATCCTTAAAAGGATGAACACGATTACTACTTCTTATAATATCTATTACACAATAATTTACACCAGATTGTGTAAGGCCAAATCCTAACCTTTGCATATTCTTACAATATTCTACTAATTGTTCTTCTTCATGAGTATTTAAAATCGTTAAAGAGCCAGGACGGCTGGGCAAACCATTTTTAACAGCACGACTTAAAGTCATTGTAGCAATTTCAAATTTTAATGCAGTTGCCCGAATGCTAGATTTTTCGGTGCTAGCAAGTGCTTTAAGAGCAGATTCAATCGCTTTTAAATGCATATCATGGTTAACGTTTTTGGATTTAAAACTCATTTTATGGTTTGTTATTGGTATTGTTTATTAATTTCAGTATATTTCTTGAATGCAGTTCTTCTGAGCTAATTAACAAAGTCTCAATCGTATTTGATTTTTTTTATTAGCGCCAGATCGTGTAATATGTTTATTAAGAAAGTTTAACTTATAACTATTTACTTTTTTCTAATTGTTCAAATTTAAGCCATTTTATATATTTTTTTGATCTTACTTACAATCAGGGCTAAAACGACATATAGTAAATACCTGCCATTTAATAAGTGTCATTTTTGATTCATATTATATTAAAATTTTATTACTTGTATATTTGATGTATCAAAAACGATACTTAAAACAATAGACAGTGGTGCAGTAAATGGCTGCCGTATACTATATGTCATTTTAGCCCTAGTTAAGCCCTGCTCCTGAATTATTGATAATTAATAATTAATTGATCGAATTATTTACTAATAACAACTTAATAATAACAACTTAATAATAACAACTTAATAATAACGACTTAATAATAATGACTTAATAATAATATAGATATTTGTGGACTAAATCCGTTGGTAGTTTATTTAATTTATTATATTGATATTATTAGCGATGATCAATATTAACTATTAATAATTTTAATAATGCATTATTAATTTTTTCATTAATAGTTCGAATTATTTACTAATAACGACTCAATAATAACGACTTAATAATAATAACTTAATAATAGCGACTTAATAATAGCGACTTAATAATAGCGACTTAATAATAGTGACTTAATAATAATATATAGAGCGATATTTGTGGACTAAATTCGTTGGTGGTTTATTTAATTTATTATATTAATATTATTAGCGATGATCAATATTAACTATTAATAATTTTAATAATGCATTATTAATTTTTTCATTAATAGTTAAAAACTCGAAGGTCCCATTACTAGAG